TTTACCACTATCCCTTTTGAGAAAGAAGATTTGGAGGTACGTGGGTGCTTATGGCAGTTCTTGTGTTCTTTCAGGAGCTGAAGATCACTGTCAAGGTTTAAGAAGGCAAATTTTTGTCTTTGATTTTCAAGTTCTGATACTCTGCTTCAAAAAATGCGTTTCAGTTTTAAAAAAGCAGACCTGTTAAATGAGTAGTGGTCAACGGCTGTGCAACCCTAAAATAACAGGATAGAGGGTTTTGTGTAAGAAGGTTTCAATATGCTTAAACATATTGAATGAGGAAATAATCTGGAAGTTCAAATGTCTTAAGTTCCAGTTCAAAATACAATTCAAGGTATGATCACATGAACAAGCTATCACAAAGTTAGGCAGGATTTGGATTCAGAAAGTCTTGGAGATAACTGCATGCTCATCTAGTAGATATCAGAGAAGTAAACTACCACAGTGGAGGAGCATGGACATAATTTCTATGGAACAACTAATAAACTATAATTCACAGTCCTCATGGAAACTCACCCAATTCCTAACAACACATTAAAGTGTCTTTCAATGAATGCTTCAGAGCTCTGTTGAACAGGGATGGAATTTTGTATTTGCTTAAGTACATATTTGAATATTTTTCTGAGCTGAGTCTTTTGGGGATTTCTGGAAACACAGTGAAAGAAAACATTATTTAAATCATCTTACTAAGGATCTCCAGGGACTTTCCCAGATAGGTTGCCTTAGTCTGTGTGTTAAAGAAGGGAATCATCTTTTTATTACTGCATCTACTGTATATGGGAGTTTCAGAATTTTATCTCAGTTTATATCTGTCTCCCACAGGATAAATATTTGATCCATTCATACTTTTTCCTGACAGGGCAGGCACATCACTGAAGTTAAAAGTCTTTGTAATAGTTTTCATTCTTTGAAATATTGAGTTGGGGAAATTACTCCAAGTGACATAAACTAATGCCATATTTCTGCTGTAATTATCCTCTACAAAGCCATTAAGTTACATTGCCAGCCTTGCAGTGATTCATCTTCTCCATCTGAGAGGCCTGGGAATTTCCTGCAATGAACTTTCTATATGCTCATGTAGGCAAGAGATCATACTAGAGTAGACTGCTGAACTACTCAGTTCTGTCAGTTTTTCACTGGGTTATTCTTGTGAGGGGTGAAAAACAGATTTGAAACTTGTTCATTTAAACATCTGCATCTTCTGTTTTCTATAAGTTTTCCTTCTGACTCAACTCTTGATTTGCAACTGTACACGAGAAAGAGGGAAAGCAAAAGCTCTATTTCAAACTTCACATGATCTTGACAGTAAGGGAGCCCTTAGAAAGAAAAGCATTTGGTCTTGAATCTCATCTTGAATGAAGAGGGGATCCATCCCAGGTGTCCTAGTTCTGGGAGAAGTTCATGGACAGAAGAGTATTATGGCTGTTTGTTCCTATTCCTCTAACCTTGGCTGTGTCTTCTGCTGTACTTGATCCTGTAAGTATGCTGCCAACAAAATCTTAGCACAGATACTGGATTGATCCTCTAGGAGGTCATAGGTGTGCAGACTTCAGTTTTGTTTTTCTCTCAAGCAGGCTTAGACAAGAGACAAACACATTAATGTTCAACCAAACAGCTACAGCGGAAGAATTTTTGTTGCTTATATATTTATTATGAACAAATACAAGGCCATGGTTTCTCAGGTACCTAAGCAGGTTATGCTGCATTTTGGATTGATATCTCAGACTTAGGTCCCTAGATGCTCCCTTTATAGTACCTTAATTCCATAGCACCGGGTCTTACATGTAGAGTTTGGCAGTTCAAAATAAGAACTCATGTTCAATGTCCTCAGATCTGACCTCTTGAGGCTTGACCCTAATATTTTTGAAAGCCTTAATTTGGTTTCATTTAGAGCTGGGTCAGGCTAGGTCTGCAGAATTGGTAGGCTACATCTGCATATATAAACTGTCTATATATATCTGAGATATAGATAGAAACTATCAGTTCCAAAGAGGATCTCAGTCATTTGGCTTTGGAAAGCAAGGCGGCTATTACAGAATACTGCTGTAGTGTGGGAAACTGAAGGAATTAATCTCACATAAATATCTGTCAGTGTCTATAACCCGGGTTCAAAGTATAGCCACTGGAGAATGGGTCAATCAGTGGATCTCAAGGTGCCTTCTATCTGAATAAATCTAAGAGACTGCTGTGCAGTGAAATGAATTGTATCCTAAACTATACAGCTCTCTTGATGAGCCTTCTTGACTCCCTTGACTAGTTCTCCATGAACATATGTCCAGTTTTTCCCTGGCTTTATTGACTGTGTCTCCTTTGGCTTTCTGTATATTTTCACAGACAGAAGCTGCTCTCAAGACATCGTTGCACTGTGTCTCCATGTGGTAGTCTTGGGACTTTCAGCAAGTCCTGAGAGTCTTCCCACAAAACTTCTAGTCACACAGGATGAAATCTGTGACTCCTGCTCCAATCTTTGTTTCTTCATTACTCACTCTTCCCTTCATAATACAGTTTGTTTTTACTGGCTACATTGTTCCTTCTTTCAAAAGCAAGCTTTACTTCTGGGTGAGCTTGCTGGATGGGACTTTTTTTGGAAACTCCACTATGTCCTGTATTCAACTCACACACAACACTCTGACAAAGCTTGTTGGAGTGAAATGCTGACCCAAGTGTAAGATACTATTTTATACCAATGGTACATCATCAGAACAGTGTCAAAGCTAATGTTACCACATGGGAGCTCTCAGGGGAAGTTAATGCGTAATTCATCTTATTTCAGTTCATTAGGGAACAGAACTTCCATTTTGATATTTTTCACATTTTATTTCAAAATGTTTTGTAATATGATTTGGTACTATGAAAAAAACATCATCTTATGCATATATACCTTACTTTTAGCAGTTCAGACATGTTCCAAAAGAAAAACTCTCTGTTATCCTTACAGCCTTGTTTTCTGTTTGTTATCTGTTTAACCCATTTTCTTTTCTGGACTTCTACACTGTCAGTCTCATTAATTTTGCAGTTCTGAGAGTAGGAGCTGTACATATAAGCCATAGTTACATTACTGTAAATTATTATGAGGCTTGCATGCTGTTTTCAAAAACCTTATACCTTGTTCATACTTCTGTATTAGCTTGATTAATTTTACTAGGTGATAGACAAGAAATTTTGAAATAAACTGCATGTTATTCTGTCCTGATACTTTAAAGGAGTCATTGTCCCAGCAAGTCTGTTTGGATGATCAGAAAGGAATAAAGTTTATGCAAATATTGTCTTTAAAACACCATCAGATTTAATGTATATGAATCTCTATCGTCACAGCTGAATTAGGGGATTAAAACTCAGAACATTCTTGTAAAAGATAATGTTTAAAATTAAGCAGGCTAAAGCATACAGGAGTACAGTTCTGCACGTCAATGTCTTTCAGTTTGACACCTGTAGCTCATGCATTATTTATGTCTTTTCCCTCAACATGACCAACATTTCCCCACATATACTCTGACGTATGCCTACTTTTTTCCAAAAAAAGTATTTCCTTTTGAAGATAAACTTTTTCATTTATCCTGTTTTCTCAAGGTATTTTCTACAAACATCAGTACTGTGAGGAAGACATACTCACAGTTTTCACATAAACTACCCAGTGCATCTTTGGCTTCTCTTTGGTACAAATATTTTGGACTCTATCCATCAGCTGCAAACATGGCCAGAGCTAAGAAATGCCAGTTCTGACACAGACTGATTCTCAAGCTTGTCCTGCTATGTCCATGTATCCTCTCCTGCCACTATCTCAGTGTGGTTTCCTCTTCTCGTTGGCTACATACCTATTAGCTTATGGTGAAACTTTCTAGAGTGAAAGCTTTAGTTAAGTTAATAGGCTCAAGCCACAGATCTGAATTCAGACCAGTATGAGTTTAGAATTTGCTCTTCTAAAACCAAATTTGAATAGCCTGAAATTGAGGAGAAATTTGCGTAGGTTGAGATATAGTCCATTTAGATTCAAGGAGTGGATCTGGCTGACCTACTGAAAAACGAGGACAGAAAAGCTATGTTGATGTTTTCACTTCTATTTCCACCTTACACCTTTAAATTTGTCTTGCTGTAGGGCACAAGGGTACAAATAGCATTGCACCCTACCCAAAGAGAAGAGGCATAGGTGATGTTTAGCAAAATCTGAAACGTCATGTTTTCAATAAGACAAAACATGTGTTTACAGAAGGCTTAATGAGCAGAGTACAGCTTTCCTACATTCAGCCACCTGGAAGTGCAGAAGTCTCCCTGGAGCATCCTGATAGTCCACTTTCAAAGTTTTTTTTCTGTGAGACATTATGATTAAATGACTGTAGTGTGCTGGCCTGTGTACAACTAGGTTACTAGAAATTTTAATTACTTAATTCAAAGCCTCAAGTTTAACCATTCTCCTTATAGCAAAAAGGCAAGGGAAAGCAAAGTGAAGAGGGGAGAGGTTTGCAGGAACAGTGGAGTTAGTTACTTTTATTTTGCATGTGTTTGATCTTTGGGAAAAGAGACACAGAATGACAATGACTGGCACAAATGGGGACAAAACAACTTGACTTATGAAGTGCTCAATGTTTTCTTCTCAGCGAAGTAAACCAACTTACCGCATTTCCCAACCACGTCAGTTACTTGATTGAATTCAGGTCCCAGATTTAAGCAAGAAAAAGGAATAAATTTAGAAAAATATAATGAAAGTTGGACTAGAATAAATTATGGTTTTTAACAGTTTATTCAAAGGAATTGAACTGCCTATTCTGCGTATGCACTTAACAATACTTGATTAAAGATCACATTTGCAAGAAAAGAGTTTACAGAGTATGCTAAATGACATGTTTTATTTAAACATGTTTGGATCATAGAACACCTTTTCATCTGCTTTAAATTTTAAAGAACTTCCATGAAAACCAATGAGATTCTTAGCTGCAGTTGATCCACTATTAATTAAAATGAGAGGAATCTTGCATTTCTGTAATTATTATATCCTGACTTACTCCAGAAAACAGGCTGCATTATTGCACTCACTTTACAGTCTATGATCCTCAGTATAGTATGAGTTTAAGACACCTGTGTTGTGCTGTATACAAAATAACACGCTACTAAACTGCCCCCAAACTAGCCTACTAGAGTGGGAACCAGCTCATATATAAGTGGCATCAGAATCCTACAGGCTGAATAGATTTGCTCTGAAAGAAACTTACGGGACAACTGAGTCCCAAAAGAC